TATATATATATATATATATATATATATATATATGTGTGTGTGTGTTAAACCACAATATGCATGATATTTAAGATATAATTTGAAGATTAAAATTGAGTAAGAAATCAAATATCATTTAATTATTATACTTGTATTAATTGTTTATTTTTTTAGTGCACAAATGATGTTATCTTGTATAAAATGTTGTATGTATCTTTTTAAACATCTTTGTCAAGTAAATTTATTGATGCACAAGAAACTCCATAATTTAAATATTCAAATTGTAATGGTAAGCAGAACTTTGTTTATTCTACATCCTTCATCTCAATCTCATCTTTATAAAATTTATAGTCTTTTGAATCACTTCAAGAGTTCCAAAATGTTTATGTCATCTATACAAATAGAAATAATGATAAACTCAATTTCATATCTTCTCATAAAAATATATGAAAAATGATCATATCATGTTTATATCATTTTCTCAACATATACTTATTGAAACAATTATACCACATCATCCATATTATTTTAATTCATAGTGTGACTTACTTAATTTGATTCAGTAATATTCTCAAGAACTCACACCAATGTTTTGGACATATTAAATTCCTTAATTTGAAGAATTTCGCATGAATCTCACTATCAAGTGACTCATAAAAATGGATCGTAACATTCATTAACTGAGTCTTTCATATACAACTTGAGTAATCAAGTATCCAAAAAATACTTGCATCCATTATAGGTGAATGTCTATTAAAAATCAATGTTAGATCTTTGTGAAAATCATTAATTTTCAAGATATGTTTTGTATCTCACAATTTCATCATTCTCATTTTATTTTTGCATAAAACATTATATATCCAATTGATTTTACATCTTCAAGTGTATGGACTACAAGAAATCCAACTAGCTTTACATCTTCATGTGTACAAACTACGTGTCCAAAAACTGTTTGATTTGACAAACGAGTTTAATTTTACCTCAATTAAGTTTTTATATATTTTTTCCCAATCAATTCTTTTGTTACAATCTTTGATAGACTTTATTTCTTGATCATCGTTATTGTTATCATCTTTAACACTACATTATATACAAATACATTATCAACATTAACTTCATTTTAGTTCCATTATATTCCATTTATGACATAATTTGACATCTTTGTTTACACAAATTTCAAGTACCTGAATTCTTCTATAACTCATTTATTTTGTCAGGAAAGTCTTTTAGGCTTTCAATATATTGATTTGACCATCTTGGAAAAAAAAAGATTAAAAAATATCCTAAGTTATTTTATTTTCTCTTGAAAACTAAACAAAATAATGAGACTTTTTATACATGTGACCATTTCAACTAGCACTATTTCATTCAATTAAATCATAATCAGATTATTCTGATTAATATGTGTTGATCTTCAATAATTTAAATAATGGATGTATAACTTATGAAAACACATAACTACCAATTTTATTAATAGTGTAACGACCCGCCCTAGGTCTTCACATCAACAAGCAACCAAACAACTCAAAATAAATAATAAAATGAAAAGAAAAGAAAGCAAATTCCAGCTACCTTAGAGTGAAAATAGTTTAAAACGTATAAATTGTTGTCATCATATAAAACGTGATTTTATAAAAGAGTTATCAACAGTAAGGTTATACAGTCATTTAAAAAGATAATATATATACAACATCATGAAAACATCAAAATAAGACACCCTAGGTGCTGGTCAAGCTCTAAGTCTAGCCACTTCTCAAAGCAGCTACCAAAAGATTCCTTGTCATCCCAAAGCTTCACATCTGATCTGCTCCCTCACATAGTGAGATCATCACAGTCCACATCATGGAAATATAAGGGTTAACACGTATAAAACCAACCATAGTACAATATAAATGAAATATCATCAAACCAAATATTCATCATCAACATTTATCCATACCAAGGGAATGACAACATTATTACATGTCCATCTCCATGCTAATATAAACAAATCCAACATCCAATGTATACACATCCATACCAATGCATACATATTCTATAATAATAAAGAATCCATAACCAATGTATACAATCCGTACCAAATGCATACATATTCCATATCCAAACCAAATGTTGGCCTCAACACATCCAACCCAAGTGTTGAGTTTGTGAACATGTAACCTGCCCATGCCACACACCTAACCTCTCATGGAAAATACACAATTGGATTACGTCATCACGTAACCCTGGTGATCCTGGCCACTTCATCCATCGGTATGACTCGACCTTACCCCCATACCAGTAGCAAATAGAATGCTTAGAGGAGTACTTCAGAATCCACCTAACATCTAAAGTGGTTTATTATAAAAATCTTTTGAAAAAACTCCATATTGGAATCCTCACCATGGGACTCCCAAATTCCATATTTTTCCAAAGACTATATCCTGATCTCACCAAGAGATCTCCCAATCCATACCATAACCTTACTCCTCTAAGTCCTATTCTTTCCAAACCAAACACACATAAGCATATTTCATAATTACATGCAATCTTTTCCATAATCATGCCACATTCCATACCAAATATATAACATCAAAAGATGATATAATTCAACATTTAAAAGTTTCATAACAACTCAATTATAAAAGGTTTTTCTCAAAGAAACCACGCGCCCAGCACAGCCAAAATTGGGAGCCTATCAGGCTTTGCCCGCTCAGCACGCCACCACATGCGCTCAGCGCATAGACTCGTGCGCTCAACGCACTTGGCATAGAGAGCCACTAGAAGCAACCCGCTCAGTGCGTAGACCCGTGCGCTCAACCCATTTTGAAATGCGCTCACCCCATGGCTAAATGCGCTCAGCGCGCTCTAGACAGAAAGTTATGTTCTTCAATGTGCTCAGTGCGTTGTCGCGTGCGCTCAGTGCGTATCCTGACAGAAAGTTTTGTTCTTCAGTGCGCTCAGCGCGTCGTCGCGTGCGCTCAGCGTGCATGCATTAGACAGCGCATCAGAAGTTCGAAAACTCCGATTTTCACCCCCAAAATCCATCTCAAAATGAATCCCAAACCAAATTACATGATTTCGAACCATTATAGAGTATAAACACCATTTAAAAACAACATATTAAGCGATAAAAATCAAATATTAACCATTAATCCATGAAAATCATAGGAAATCATGAAGAACCCTAACCAAACCCTCTCCAGCTCAATCCAACCTCAATCATGCGTAAAACATGGAATCAATATGATATTTCGAACCTATACATACTAGATTAAGTCTTATAAGTACTACCCTTACCTCAGAAACCTCAGAAATGCAAGATTTGAACAAAATCCTCAAATCCCAATTCAAACTTCAATCTCACTTTCCAAGCTTTTAGAAGCTAAATTTCTTGAAATTCCAGTTGTGAAGATTGATCCCGGCTTGATAAATTTCCCAAATGTATCCTCAGCTTCTCTCTGGACTAGAGCTTCTCTCTCTACTTCCTCTCTCTAGAAACTATTTCTGTCTGACAAATGAAATCCTCTAGTCCTAGGCCCCTATATATAACCATTTTCTAAAATTTCCAAATTTCACCCTTAGCATCTATTCACCTCAAATGTCTTACTCCTTGAAGTATTTCAACTCCCTAAGCTCTAAAACAACCTCAAATTCACTCAAAAAGGCCAAATTTATCTTATGTTCTTATCTTCCAATCTCCTACCATTCCTATTCCTTTCTATGCAATACTCACAACTCACCACCATATGAAATGCAACATGTATCAACATACAAACAAACATCACCTTCAGATACATATGCTTGGAATAATGAGTTACATGCCATAATACTTCACTTAACTAAGATGAGAAGGAAGGTGATCAGTCTTCTTTCCTCTTAGTACCGGTTCAATATAATGTTGTACAATGCATCATTCACCACACTCATGATACGCATGCTTATATAAACATCTCAAAATAACAATATCACATCTCATACTGCAAGATCACTTCTATGCCCAAACAACTAATCAAAACCACATAAATATACAACATGCACAAAGATAAGTACACTTCAAATCAACACATCTAGAATCGAACCCAAATCCATATAAACAACATATATATACATACATACATATATACATATATATATATTGTAACACCCCGAATTTGCTACTTGATTATTAATTATTTTTATATATAGTTATTTTTGTTAATTAAAGGGGTTTTATAGAGGTTTGTATTA